CAAATGCGTATAATTGAAGGACAGAGAAAAATAAATGTGAAAAACAACAACAACAAAAAAACAAATTTGTGTTTTTCTGGAAAATCACTGATCAAGAACCTTTATATACATTTTATGTTTAAACAAAAGTCCATAAACACTAGCCCTCTGAATCTATAAAAATTAAGGTGCACGGATATACAGAGGTCAATTACATAATTAGTTAAAATTATTCAACAGCCGTTTTCAATTGGAAAGCAAGGACAAGTACAAACATCAATTCCCGTTTTTTTTTTTCTTTTTTTTTTATTAACTATTCCTGAAGAAAGAAGTCAGCAGGAATCATTCAACACAGTGTTAGGAAATAAGTTTACAACATCAGCAGTGCAAATTCCTTCCACAAAAACTTTTAGGTATCTGTCTGAGAACTTCGACAATTTTCCACTAAAGAAAAGAGCTTTCTGTTGTACCTAAATGAGGAGACGGGCTGGAAGTGAATCACTGAGTTTTTCGCTCCGCTGTCATCATGTGAGCCCCTGTGCCTCTGAATGAACAAAACCTCTTTCTGGACTGGCATTTGTGATACTTAGCTTAACTGAAAGTGTAGAAAGAGAAAACTCCCACCCAAGACATAGAAGAAGGCACTAAAAGCAATTAATATTTATCAGAAATGAAATAATATGTTCACTTGGCCATTCAGAACAGAACAACCAAACCGCTTCTTTTAAAGGGATTTTTTGGTTGCAGATTTCTGGATCTAGAGTTGAGTTTCCTGCCTTCGCGGAACCCCTCTGCCCGCCCTTACAGCAGAGAGGGGCTTGCAGTGACGTGCTTGTGCTGCTGCTGAGTCCAGGGGTAAGAAGTATTGGAGCCACAGTCTATGTAGCGGTATGCCTCAAGGCTGTTCTGGGATGTCCGCACCATGTATGAGGTTTTCACTGAGGTTCTGAAAACAGGCAGGAAAGCAAAGGGGTATGAATCAAAAAACTTCTTAACTCAACAATTTCCCCATGGGAGGGTCAGTAAACCTAGGCCCTTAACAGCTTTACAATTATTGTTTTTTTATCCTAAATAGGTCTTTCCGTGGAATGCTCCATGTTTTTGACTGGCTGAGAACAAAGCAGCTTCTTCCTGTATTTCCATTAGTATTTTTTCAGGGTATTTTTTTCACCTGTGGTTTTACTTTTGTCTAAAACACAGAAACTGCTCTGAGGGTTCGGACAAAAACCCTCCTAGTGAGACTGTTGGGAGGTTTGTGAAGCATTGTGGGATACAGAACAATAAAGCAAAGGTTATGGTTTGTAAAATCAAACAACCATCCAGAAAGGTTACAAAGTTTATCAACTGATGTGGACCAAAGAAAACCAGCTGTAGCCGTGAAGACAGCTCCCAGAATAAAGCTGAACTCGCACATTTCTATGTCCTCTGCTTGCTTCAGAGCCTCAACTTTTAAAGGAAAAATCTGCTCTTTGTGTATGAAGCTCAAAATTGCATGTAACTGCATAGTAGTAAAAACAAACAGGCTTTAGAAAGAGAGACAGAAGAGCCACAATTCAGGACAACTGAACCTAACATCAGACAAAAATCTTGATATATATTTTTTCCTAAATATCTTTATACTATCAAAGTACTTCATTTATCATATGTTACATCAAAATTTCACAGCATAGCTAATATTTGCTGTAAAAGAGCCTTTTGTTCTGCAGCTCAGTTGAAATAGGATTGTTGGTTTTTTACATTTTTTTATGTGTCTTATTCTAGATCTGTGCTCCCATCTACTCCGTGATTTTTTTTCCCCCTGGTTTTATAAAGATTGATTTTCTTCCACTGCAGCTAAGTTACTGCCCTGGTTCTGTAGGACTCTACTCTGTATTTGAATCAAATTTGAAGTAAGTTTAATTTCTTGATTACATCATAAATGGAGACCTTTCACTGATTTAGTAAATGTATCTGTAAATATGGACAAGAGTGGATTCAGGTCATGCAGTCCTTCAAGTCCTAGATTTAATGACTTTGTACTCAACATTAGAAAAGCATGAAGGACTTTAGACTTGATCATATCATTTGTCTGCTCACACAAGGTGATCATAAAAGCAATGATTAAATTGGCGTGAGGAAGTCATGTGGACTAACAACCAGAGAGTATTCAATGAAATCTATCTTATAACAGAAAACCTAATAAATCAAAAAGTTGATAAAGAAACTAATGACACCTAATGTTAGCTAAACAAACCATGTTATTATAATCAAAAACTGAATCCTGAGAAGAAAAATGCAGGGTCTGACTCAGATGCAAAGCAAATAAAATTAGACACTTAAGTGTAGCTGGATAGAAGTGCAGTCTGCTAACCTTAAGATTTTTCAAATCCAGGGGTTGAATTATTTTACTACAGAAACATTTTTAATGCTGAATGACCCTCAAACTAAAGCAAAGTGAGACACTGTAATCTGGGAAACAGCAGAGGCATAAAATCTGTCTGATTACATGAACTTTACTAGCCTAGTAAATTAGCCCCACCCGCACACCGCAGAGATGTGCTTTGAATTTCTGGATAAAAAGCGGGCGGGGTTCTGAGGGCGTGACGACAAAGCTGCGACAAGGAAGATGGCAACAACTCCTGAACAGTTCTCTTTGCTTTGGAATCAGTTTTGAAAGAATTAGACTTTGGGTTTTCGTTGAAATGTGAGCAGGAAGAGGCTCTATGCTCATTAATTTTTAAGACGTATGTATTTGTCGTTTTACCGACAGGCTGTTTGTTTACACTCCCCCACCAACTTACTGTTGCGCTTATTGGTCACAGCATTGGCCAATAGGCACAGACATGGTTTGAAAGACAGTGGGTTGTTCTCATCAACAACCTTTTTATGTCTCATTCATGCGGGACAGACTAAATGTGTTATTTAGTTTAGGTTTATCAGTGTATAAAAGGCTGGGATTCAAAAGACACAGTAAATGTTTAATTCTTCCTGCCG